TGTGTCTTGATTTGATGAGCTAATGACGGTTTCGTTTGTTTTAGCAGGCAATTGGCGGTCAGCCGTTCCATCCTGGGAGAAGGAGTTCTGCAGGTTCGTAGGGTCAGTTCCCTGGAAAAAGCTTGTGGAAGCAAAGCGGTACATCCACTTATATGACAAAGTGCTTAAGTGGAATGACTCGGCAGTCGAGGAGGCGTTTCACGATGCAAAGGAACGGTTCTGGGCAGAGATCAATGGAATTCCATGCAGCATTGCTTTGCCCGATCCAAATCTGCACATAGATGAAGTGGACTGGGTATCTGAAGTGGACCCTGAACTGCTTTGCGACTTGGACCGATGGCCTGAAGCCCTTGATGGCGGCAACAACAGCAGCACGATTATCTTCAGTGATGTCCTAGCGAATCAGTGGGTGAGTACTCATGGGTATCCCGATAGCAAAGATGGCGGTAAATTCAGGGGCAGTCCAGACAATTGGGATACATGGGACTGGGGTGACCTGAATAGGGAACCCGAACCTGCTAGACCCCATGTCGCGAAACGCAAGCCCTCTAGATTCCGCCGGAATGATTAGCGAATGGGTTACGGACAGACCGCCGGATGGAAATGAAGCGGAACTAAGAGTCGTGGTTGCCTTGTTAATTTCTTTATTGTAATTCATGAATATATAAAGTATAAGCCATTGCATTTACAGTAATATGTACGTTAAAAAAACGACATTTAATTTTGTTAGAGATAATTAGGATATTTCCCCAAATTCTCCATATCTCTCGTGATTATGCAAGTATCCTGGAGATCCTCCGTGTCTCCCTTTAATTATGCATATCTTGGATTGATCCTAAAGCCTATAAAAAGGCTCATGTACTCTTCATTTTGAGATGTACGATGAATAACACAATCCTCTCCTTTGCATATTCTACTCTAAGTTAATGAATCTCATATTATTTCAGTGGTATGTTGTTGAAGCACATGTACCATCTTCAATTTCTAATTTCTATGCAATATAGCGTATCATATAAGCAAGTTAGGTGACTATATTTTGTGATGGCAATCTTTCTCTCCCCAAATTTTTACAAATGTTTCAATTTCTAAGATTTTGCTCAAGAAATTCCAACGTGAGAGTAAAAACTCGGTAGAGCGGTTACCGGAAAAATATGAACTTATGAAACAACACTTGATACTATTTTCTTGATAAGTGAGTAACTTTTTTGGATTCAGCCCTACTTTTTATAGGTGCACAATGGATCAAGGAAGAGATCAGAAAAAGGAAATACGGTTTAAGCAAAGGTGATTTTATCTTGAGTTCACTCAATTAAATGCCCTTGAAAACTATAACAGGATTTTCTTTGCAAATTGGGGGGGAAGAGAGAGAGAGAGAATACCTTTTCAAGGGTAATTTTGTTCATCTGCTGATTTGGAGCCATATAGGGGAATGGAAATAGTACCATTGTAACTAGTAAATAAAGGACTAGGTGTCCCCATTTAGTTCTTTACTAAAAGAGGTGCTAGCCATAATGCTTCCTCTATATTAGTCTTACCATCTTTAACAATTACTATAAATGGAATACACAAAGTGTTTTTTCTTAATATGTTGCGTTAATTTAAAAAATAAGGAGGCAAACATTGATAGCCCAAAATGCAAAAAGAGTATTTGTTGATTTTGCCATTGGCATAAAAAGAAGTTCATTATAAATACCCCATCTAATATATCCATGTTGAGAATCAGATGCCATTTTTAAATTAACGTCGTGTTACACTATGAGTAATCATATTTACCTCTCTCTTTTTTAAGTTAATCATCAAAGACACGAAAAGAAACCCGTTTAATTGATGGTAATTGACTCAAACATTGTTAGGAAGGAAAACTATTTAACTTATGCAGTGTCTCTTGGTAGTAAATCGGTCTTAATATATCATACGTTACATTTAAACAAAAAAGGAGGCGAATAATATTACATGGTGCGGACCAGTTCAAGCAGAGTGTTCTAATTATGATTTTGCCAATGTACCCACATAGTCATCCATGTTTAGAGATGGAAATTGCCATTTTCAATTCATAATTTTTAAGGAGATAATATTTGCCATAAAGGCCTAGTTATCTCATTTTGAAGTCTGAAAATGCATAAAAGTGAGACGTATTTGGAGCATCGGGAGTCTCTTGGGTTGCTGGTGGCCCGCCACCTCCCGTGTGTCCACTGTCCCTATTTGCAACTCACTCCGCAAAAATCAACTCCCTGCATATTTTCATCGCCATTGAAGTCGGAAACGATCTTCCAAAAGTTACCATCCTCTTAATTCTCCTTCTCTGTGTTCCCCTATCCATTACTTGGAATTGACTAATGGATTATCCGCTTTGGACCGCCCATACCAAGCCTTGTTGTTTTGTCCACATACAGGTGGGCACCTTTCCAGGAGGTCATTCATGTGAGAGTACTCCTACCTAAGCACGTTTAACTTTGGAGTTCCAAAGTTAAATATTGCTGTTACGTCAAAATGCGCTCCTTTGAGTTAATTTTCAGTTTTCACACATACATATATATAATTCGCTCTCCCCTTATTTGGTATACGGTTCGATTCATTCATATCCCTTCGCATCCTGAAAACCTGCTAAGAGCTGCTCCTTGTCCAGGCCCTCTGGCTGCGGCGAACACTCTCCGCCCTTGTCGGACCCAGTCGTTATATTTTCGTCGCCATTGAAGTCGGAGACGATCTTCCAAAAGTTACCGTCCTCTTGCCACTCCTCCTCTGCGTTCCCCTGTCCATTGCCTGGAATTGACTGATTTGCTAGGACATCGCCAAAGACAACTATTCCGCTTCCATTACTGTCGTCATCGAGAGCCTCATGCCCCTGCTCCAAGTTCAGAGCCAGCTCAGGGTCCACTTTGCATTCCCAATCTACTTCGTCGGTATGGAGATTTTGGATTAGGCCAAGAGATGCACAAGGAAGGCGGTTGATCTCAGCCCTGAATCGTTCCTTTGCGTTCTGAAGCGCCTCAACTGCTGAGTCGTTCCACTTAACCACTTTGTCATATTAACTGCAAGTACCTCCTTATTACCACGAGCTCTTCCAGGGAATTGAGCCGACCAATCTGCAGAACTTCTTCCATGATCGCACGGCTGGCTGCCAACTGCCTGCAAAAGGAGAGATGCAAGATACAAGGCTTCCTTTTTAAGAGAGCCAATAGCTGTGACAGAATTTTTGCTCCAATGTCATCCGCGTCTCCCGGATTGACCTTCCAAAGAATGGTAGTAATAATTGAATCCCAACTGTACATCCCACTGTAAATTCTTTTTTCGCTTTCCACTGTGATGAGAGTAGGATTTTGGTTACCGGAGTGTCTTCACTGTAACCACAATGTGCTCATTGTCATTGTTTTCATTAATAACTCAAAGCTTGTTGTCCTATTCTTTTATCAGTAGAAATTGTAATCACTAAATGATACGCAAAGAGAGTACAAAACGGGCATGTAGTGATCGGCGAAAAGTTTGACCTTTTTCTCCGACTTTTCTTTGATATTGTGTTTTGAATTAATGAACTAATGATGGTTTCAATTACTTTTGCAGGCAGTTGCAGCTGAACTGTGCCATTGTGGGAGGAGAAGTTCTGCAGCTCGGTTGGCTAAATTCCCAAGTGAAAGCTCGTGGAAGCAATGAGGTTCTTAAACTTTCATGACATTGGTTTAGTCTAATAGCTCAGCAGTTGAGGAGGTGTTTCGCAACCCGAAGGTAAGTGGGCAGAAACAAACGGGCTTCCACGCGACATCCCTTCACCCGATCCAAAAATCCACATCCTGCACCGACGAAGTAGATTTGGAAGCCAAAATGGACCGTTAACTGCTTCTGGACTGGGAGCAGAGTAGCGGAGGGTCTTGATGGCAGTAACAGAAGCAGAACAGTCATCTTTGGGAATGCCCCCACGAGTCAAGTCATTTGCATGCGATGGACGGGAAGACGTAGAAAAGGATTGGTCAAAAGACGAGAATAGTCGGAAGATCTTTCTGATTTCGACGTTGGAGAAACTGTAAATGGAGTTGGTTCGGTGGAGTGACTTGCGGCTAGGCTGACCCTTGTGGGGGTTCAAAGCAGGGCAATTCTCAGGAGCCGAATCAGAACCTTAGCAGAATAGCAGAATCGGCAGGTTACTTCTCTACAGGATTTTCACCAAAACAGGAAAGTCCTAAGTTGGAGAATGGCCAAGAACAGAACCCTTGACGATTCGGACAGATACAATTGGGACGGCATGAGTGGAGATCTCTCGTAGAGGATAATATGGAGTTGATTCTGTGGAGTAGATTGAAGCTGATAGTCACTATTGTTTGGGGTCGAATTGGGATAAGTAAGTGCATCAACTGTTTCTTTACTGTAATTCATCAGTCGTGGAGAATAAGTGCATTTGCAGCAAAATGTACCCTGAAATTGAAATGCCATTCAATCAACGAATCTCCTGTTCTTCTTTCCTTTCCTTTTGGGTACTCTGTTATGCATAAAACTAATAGACACGACGGAAGCGACATAATAGACCAATTACTTTATTCGCACGATATGCATCCAATAAACTTACATTTTTGAAGTTTGAAATTATTGCTTCTTATTAGCTGTCTTATTCTCTTCCAATGATATTGATTGATTACAAGTCATGGGTATATCTAAAGTTGTAGATACAAACCCATGTTTATATTGAGTAAAGTATGGTGTGAGCGTAGCTTACAATCGGAGATCCGTCAAACCAGCGGTGTGATTAGAAGAAATTTCCATCAACAAAGAATGAAGGATTAAATCCCGGACTTTGTATTAACAACGGATAAACATCTTCTATTTAATATTATGTTTCCCTCCATACCTCAATAAATATCAACTATCCATTTATGAAAATAATTTTTTTTTTCGTTTAAGATTTGTCGAGAGGGGTTTCGGTATTTTCTACGCCGACCCGTAATCTTGGAAATGCAGTCCCTTTGTATATTTGTCGTAGTAAAACGAGGTGACATATAAATGGTGGTTTTCGCCGGAAGTGAGAGTAGGAACGAGACGTGGGACGGTCGGTTGGTTCGTGGAGTCCGGCGGTTGGCCCCCCACGACCTCCACGCTTCGGCGGTTCTTTCTTCCTGTCTGCGAGGCGTCGGGTATGCCCTTGTGCTGCGTCTCTTCTTCCTGCTCAGCAGCAACATCGTACTCTCTCTCTCTCTCTCTCTCTCTCTCTCTCTCTCTCTCTCTTTGTGCGTTCTTCATCCATGTGGCAAGCATTTCGACTAGGGTTCAGGGGTTTCGCCACCCCTTCTTTGAGGTTCGTCCCGGGTCCCTCCCCACCTCTCCTTTGCGTGAATCCAGCGTGAAGAATGCGCGAGCTTTTCCAGCCTTCTTTCCATGTGATCCCCTTTTCATTCCGATTAGTGGGTCAGCAAAAATGACCGCTGAGGCGACAATCTGTGATGTTGCATTGCTTTGGTTGTTGAAAAGTTCCTGACTTTTTTGAACGTTGTAGTTTCGCGGCGGCTCCAAGATTCTGGGTCGGTCGTTCTGTTGTCTCCCTCGGAGCAAGCGAAATGGGGCCCAAAAGGGGCATGTCTAATTCGTCGAGACCTGAGTCGGCGACTCCTGAGGACAAGAAAGGGAAGAAATCGAAAGGATTGGCGACTTCGGTTCCTAGTTCTAGCACGAGTCGTGTCAAGGTATCGTCTGTTAGTCGAACCTATCGTTTGACCTCTGTTTTGGTGACTTGACTGCTTAGCATTCATTTTTCTTGTAGGAAATTTTTGGTGGAAGCATCGGTGACGTCGAATGCCTTAAAAATGACCCGGCCAGAATTGAGGCGATGACATTTCAGGGATTGAGAGCTACATTGAGGTGGGGATAAATTGTTTTTGTCAAATTTTGCAAACGCAAACGCGTTATCGTTGTTATGGTGTTTCCCGCGAAACCTTTGCAGTAAGCAAAAATCAAGTTTTTCTATTTGAAGCTTGCAAGTGCGATTATTTAGCAGGGAAATCAACATTACTGATAGAAAACCATGAGTTCTGGAGAGTTCTCCTTCAACAAAGAGCTATGTCTTTGTTGCATCATGCTTTTTCTCAATATGATGATGAAACCTTTATGTCCTTTTTTCGCGTTTCTACGGTCATTTGAGAGGCTTGTAGATCGTTATTGTAAAGCATGTGGGAAGAGTACACGGAACGACTGGTCTGAAGGACTGGCTCCCTAGCTGCTGTTGCAGTTCAGAGGCACAAACTGCACCTTCTCGGTTGTCCTGCTGGTTGGACTTACAGTCTAGCACCCTCTTGGAATTGCATGTGAACTGCCTTTGTAGAATCCCCAGTTATATTAAGATTGGATGAATAACTGATCGATGTGATTTTTAATGTACAAAATAGATGTTCTCATGACAATATTGGAAATATCATCTGTCTAGAGGATGCATATAAAGAAGGGTATGGCACTCGAAAGAGTTGACTTTTTTTTTTTTCGAAGCACTCGAAAGAGTTGGATAAATAGTTTCTATTGCATGACTGGTTCCCTCTGAGAGTGTACCATTCTTTGTATTATCTTGAAAGCAGTTGTTATTGTTTGAGAAACCTGTAAATTATTTTTTAATTGCATTGCTGGTTGTCTTTGACATTCTTCTGACACCAGGAGAATTGGAATCCCGGCCAAAGGGCGTAAACCGGATCTAATATCTGCCTTGAAGGGTTATTTCAATCAAGAAACAAAGGGTACCATCTTTATAATCTATTTACAGTTTGATGATAATTCACTTGATGCTGGGCAGAGGTAGCAAGATTAGAAGTTTTCTCACCAACTGTAAATATTTGAAAGACTTTCACTTACAGCAGCAGCTTTTGTGACAGTTTGAAATCTATTTCATGTGCTCATTGACGGATGTCGAAGACTTTCTAGGAGATTAGAAGCTTTTGTGGCAGTTTGCAATCTACGTTATGCACTTTTAATTCACAGGAACACATTTTAATGCTCATTTAACCATTTGATATTCCATTTCCTATGTTGTTTTTGGACCCATTGAAGTGCAAAGATGAGCTCCTCACTATTGTGGTTGACAACCATGGTGGTTGTCCTGTATTGGCTTTTGTAGGTGATAATATTGAGGCGGCGGAGGATCAAGCATCTTATGGGTTATCTGAATATATTTCAGTTTCAAAGAGGGAAGAGAACTCTGATGAGAATAATTGTGTTGAAGCAATTAGCTCCGAGTCAAAAATTTCTAGAATGCAAAGAAGTAAGAGGGTAAAACAGTCTACCAAGGAAAAAACGATGAAAGTTGATGGCACAGTGGTCAGATCGAAGCAGATGCAGTCAACTGAAACTGATGAAATTGCTGGTTGGTGAAATATGTACTGTTTTAGTAATTGTAGTAAAATGTGTTCATGCTGTTTGCCTAGTTAACTTAATTTAAATTATTAGGTGAAATGACGAAAGGGAAAATATTATCCATTTCGAAGAAAAGAGATACAGAAGTTTGTATTGAAGAAGTAGGAGCTGAAGTTAATGGAACGATAGAACCATGGACAGTTCTCGCCCACAAGAAGCCACAGAAGCACTGGGTTGCTTACAATCCTCGAACTATGAGGCCTCCACCTCTTTCACGGAATGTGAATTCTGTGAAGTTGATGTCTTGGAATGTCAATGGTTTGAGAGCATTGTTAAAGATGGAGGGGTTTTCTGCTGTTCAGCTTGCTCAAAGGGAAAAGTTTGATGTATTGTGCTTGCAGGAGACCAAACTCCAGGCAAGTATACTTGTTTTTCTTCTGAGTTTGTTGGGACCATCTTTTCATAGTGGAAGATTCAAAGCCTACTAGTTAGTCCATGCAGACATCAAAATCATTGTATTATGAACCACTTTATGGATCTGAGGTTACCAGAATTCACTCAAACAGCAAAGATCCGTGAATTGGTACGTGCGTTGCAATTTGTGGTTCACTAGAGACTTGGTACGCTAGATTTGGCCATCCGAGCATTCCAGATGGAATAAAGGAAAATAAGGGTGAAATCATCTATTGGATATATATATATGCTCTAAACATATACTATATATGATTTGACTAAAAAAGGAAGAATTGTGCTCTAAATATAACATATTTCTTAAATTACTCAAACTTGATCTCTGAAAACGTTCTGCGATGCAATGTTTGAATTTGGGTCAGAAAAAGCTTTCCAAAGAAACCTACCCCCTTCATACTGCATTCTCAATACATAATGTTCCTTGTTCCCATGTTCGTTTCACGTACCAAATCGAACTGCAAACCAGGTTACTATTTCTGCTTAAGGGAAAATATTAACATATCCCTCCTGAGCATCAATGCTCTGTCTCCTGGCTTCATATTTGCTTGAGGTTGTTAATATTTAAATTTTGCCTATATGCAGGAGAAGGATGTAGAAGCAATCAAAGACGTTATAGAAGGTTATGAGAACAGCTACTGGACATGCAGTGTTTCTAAACTTGGTTATTCTGGTACAGCAATCATCTCACGGGTATGCTTCATTTTGCTTTTCACAGGAGCACTCTTTCCAGCCTTGGGGAATGTGATAAAATTTTCTTATATATGTCATTGTTTAATGTCCACCTTAGCTGGAGTGCTGTATGGCTTTCATAAGAAAGGTTTGATTTTTGCAATGGGAGAGAGATTGATTATCTCTGGCTTTATAATGTACACATTCTGTTTTAATCTGCTACTTTGACACTATGTTGGATATAGTCAGTAGAAAATAAGGAAGAACTTGGTTACTTTTTGAGTAGAAGAAACAAAACAGATTGATGGAAGCAACTGATTGTTGGCGTATTTGAAAGAAGAATGAATAAAGCCTGAAAGCATCTGTCTGTCCTTGAAGAAGTGGAGAAATGAGATGGCATGTCATCTCATGGTCAATGTCTTAAGCTGGGAATGAGCAGAAATAGACTTTATGCGATTTGCTATGTAGTGAATGAGCTACTAGAAACTAGATATCTTGCGGAAAATTTTCATCATCCCAGTTTTCTTCATTTCTCTCCTTTAAAGCACTTTGAAAGAGTGATTTGAACCCATTCAGCCATAGTGCCTTCATGGTCCTTTTGGCGCCTCATAGCATCCAATGAACATCTTTAAGACGAAGTTTGTAAGAATGTAAAAATTCCAAATGGCCCCATTGATTTGTTACAGCGAGTGCATTTGACCCCAATGAATTGTCATATTGTAACCGAGAATGTAGGAGTCCGTATGGATATTATGATATTTTAATCTAGTTAATTGACATTGTAATATGCTTGTAGCAAGGTTAGTCCATTTGCTTTATATTTGTTCAAATGAAATGCTTCTCATCTGAAATAAAGATCACAGCCAATGATCAGCTGGTTTAGGTGCTTATGAGTTGGAATTAGCATCTCAATTGATGTTGGATGGATAATAAAATTGATATAAGTTGTAATTTGTATGTTAAAAATGCAAAAGGATTACCTTTTCTCTATATTAATTCATGTAAAAGGTGGATACCGTGCCTTTTGGCTTTCTCCTACATTTGGCTTTTTCGGATTATCTATTTCTGTAGTTACTATTAGTAATTTTTTTCTGCAGACAAAGCCCCTTTCAGTTACATATGGCTTGGGCATATCAGATCATGATTCTGAGGGACGGCTTGTCACTGCAGAATTTGATTCGTTCTTTCTCTTGAGTGGTTACGTTCCTAATTCTGGTGATGGCCTGAGAAGACTGGTATCAATCTATTTCATTGGTTTATTCCGTTACACACTTGCGAGTATGATTTTCTAACTCTATTGCTTTTATTGTTTATGTCAGATGTATAGGATTAAAGAGTGGGATCCATCTCTGGGCCGCTACATAAAAGTATGTTCAGTTCTATGTGGCCCTCTTGTTTTTTGTAAAGCTATTTGGCCTTTTGTTCTGGAGTCATTATTCACCATATCATGGATCATTCTACAATATGCTTTTCGTAGTACCTGTAAAGGTTTTCCAATAGACTACTACTATAATTCTGTTGCAATATTGTTTTATTTCTTACTCAAATTTGTGCTTGCTGTTGGCAATACAGGAACTTGAAAAGTCAAAGCCCGTGATTTTGACTGGCGATCTGAATTGTGCCCATCAGGAAATAGACATTTACAATCCTGCGGTAAGCGAAATAGTCCATTTTCCTTTCCTGCCTTTGATTGATAGGTGCACTAATAATTGACATCAACTTTTTAAGTTAACTGTCACAGTACAATGTCCTTGCCGCACCATATGTCCCCCACCCCACTTAAAAAGAGGGGGAAAAACCTAAAACAGAAGGCAGCAAAATCAAACAGAGAAAAGGACTGTAATTAGGCTTTTTCTCCATAGAACTGAATTCGGGGGGTGGGTGGTGTGTTGATGGAAATCACAATTCAGGCTGTTTGGTATTTCAAAACAGAAGTTCTTAGTACGTATAATGTTTCTTATATCTGTCATTAATCTGATTATCATGAGACTCCAGGGAAATAAAAGAAGCGCTGGATTTACAATTGAAGAAAGGGAATCTTTTGAGACCAACTTCCTGTCAAGGGGCTTTGTCGATACCTTTAGAAGACAGCATCCTCATGTTGTTGGTTATACTTATTGGGGTTATCGGCATGGTGCGAGGAAGACAAATAAAGGTATACATAGATCTACTTGATGGAAAATTATATATCAAATGTTACACTTCTCTCTGGTAATTGTGATAATATGAGCAATGACAACCTCTTTGCTTTTTCTTGGGTCATTATGCATATCTTCGTCTTATCAGATGAAGCTTATGGAAATAGGTATTCTCAAATGTTAACTATCCTCCTTGTAATCTACAGGGTGGCGGCTCGATTATTTTCTCGTTTCAGAATCTATAGCAGACAAAGTTCATGACTCGTACATCCTTCCTGATATCACCGGTAGTGATCATTGTCCTATTGGCCTCATTCTCAAGCTTTAGTTCTGTCATCTCTGTTGGGATCTTGGTGAATATATTCTGGGAAGGTAGTCCGGCAGCATCATCTTAGATGCTGGTTGGTGAAAAGTATTGAGCTTTTCTTGCATGGTCATTTATGTTGAAGCCAATAGCAAGGGAAATTTTTTTGATGAAATTTGCTTAGCAATGGGGGCAAAGAAAGGGATGACGAGATGACAGGACAGACAGTATTTGCTTTGTCTGGGCTTGTGGAGTGATCTGGGTTTTTCTAGATTATTCTATAAGGCGTCTTTCGGAGGAAGAGTTATGATGGAACTTTGAAATCACATTTGAAGATATCCGTGCAAGTTTTTGAACATACATTTTGATGCCGATGCCGAAGCCGTTAGGGTAATAATGCTGAAATGCTGTGTGCAAGTTGTAGGTACAACCTTTCTGGTTTGCAATCCAATTTGATCATCTGGTGGATGTTTTTGTTTTAATTGAAAAAGAAGCCTAGAAAGACAGTTGTCTACGACGGTCTGCTGCTCAGTCTATTAAGGAGTAAGGCAAGGCATACAATGACTTATCGTGGATCTTTGTTTGCGTCTTGTTGTTAGAGAAGCTCAAAGGAGCATGTATCAGCAATTTGTCATTTTGGGCTCTTGAATTTTGTATATGAACATGGAAGACCTGAAGATGATGATGTTGCCATAACTAGGCGCAAAAATGTAGATGGAATTAGCGAGTTTCTCTTATTTATGGAATCCTGCTGTTCAAGTCTATAACAGTTTGCTGGCTTCCCTGACAAAAAATATGAAGGCTCCTAGAATTTGTAGGAAAATTTGCATGGAATTCCGAATGTTGGTAATACCAGGAAGTCCCAACAGACTTCACAAAGGCCAGGATAAAGCCTGAACTGCTGATTACTATTATTGTCCATGAACATGTTCTTGCCATCTTTGAAATTTTATCTATATCAATGAACTGCAATTGCTTCTTCATAAATCCTAAACTGCTTATTACTGCTTCTTTCTTAGTTTCCCATGCTTATATGGTGTACTTATTTTGTGGAAAGCCTTAAGCGAATGTTGAAACTATTTCTTATTTCATGTTCTCAATTTCTCCGGAATCCAGCATCCGTGGGAGACCATATGGAAGACCAGAAGGGAACCATGCCCTTGCAATCTCCTCAGATGTGGATCCATCAGATACAAATACATATAACCCTCCAATTTTTCTCTCTAGAAACTGATTTTACAACGCCTACAATGCATCAAATATGCTTATTAAGATACAAAAATATACAAAAAAACTGTTCCAAAAACACGAAAAAGAAGGCGAAGTATTGTTAAGAGAGAATGAAATGTGCCTGCTATTCAATTTGAAACCGTGCATTTGTTCAATCCTTCATACGACAGTTTGGTATAACATGTTCGTGCATCGATGATATTCCAAAACAATGTGCTTACTCACAATCATCTTCCTCGGTTGCTACTGGTCTAGCCGCCACGAAGAACGATCCCAAGGGTATGCCGCCCTCATCATACCACCAGCTCTTCACCTTCTTCTCCAAATGGAAGAGCCACAAAACTTGGTGAGGGTGTTGGGGAAATTGCAAGGGCGTGGGGATCCCACAGGAATATGCGTGTCTGTTGCCCAAGAAGGCAGGGGTTGATGCTGCACATGTCCAAGCCTCCTCTTTGGTCCTTCAGATCCAATGCTTCCTCTAGTTTTCCACATGGACTCCCCATCCAAGGGCATAGTGAAGATGAATTTCTTCACTTAGAGAGCCTCCTTCAGACTTTAAGCGGATTTGGGACATTGCTGGGATTGTGTTAATCGTCCCAATTCCGCACCCGACGAAACCACATAAAATCGAATAACGCGTCACTAGAGTCTCGGTTTCGAACCCAGTTCGAACTCGAGAACTACACCATATTGTTGTGTGCGAGACGATCTACATCTCAAGGTCAAATCTGGTCAGACCCCAATAAACCCTTCCTAATTATTTAGGCCAAATAAATAGCTTTCTTATAATCCAAGCATAAAGCTCTTAAGGCTCTTAATCACAAGAGTATTGGCCTCTTAGAATGTAGGCCGAAGCTCGATGGGTACAGTAATATCAAGAACTGAATCTACCTCGTGCATTTAATTCACACGCCAGTTCCCCACACCAAATCAAACATCGGGATGTCTACGTATAAACTTAATTACATCATTCCGAACTTCTGTGAATGGACATCCTATACATACTCATCGAACTTGGAGCGATGTTTGGTGGAATTAGAATTACTAACTTAGGGCCGACAGTTAGAATTACTAAAGATCATGAACTGGCAAAGAGGCTGGACTACCTGGAGATCACAACAAACCAGTAAGTTCATAAGCTTAGTCCTTTCGAGATAATCCTCATCCAGAGTAGTTTACACACTAGCGATGAAAATGTGATCGGACAAGCTCGAAGTCCTGTGCTAATCCAACCAATATGCCAACCCAAGGGTTACTTTTTCTTTTCCAACTTACATTTTTGTCGACAAAATAAATTTTAACATGAAAATAAAAGAAACTTCAAGGGCTAAAACTTGGAGGGAAGAACCAACGCAGAGAAATAAATGAATAGAGTGAAAATGTGTAAAACTGCTTTACTATCGAGCCATGTCATTTGAGTGTCTCATATGGATATGAGCCCCAATTAGAGGTTCTATATTACCGTCCAAAACAGAATACAGGTCAGGCATTTCAACACCAGTTCTTACATCTTTCACATGCTTGCGAGGGCAAAGAACGTATCTCCGGGCCTCGTCTCGCCATATGTCGAACACATCTTCTTTCTTGATGCCATTTATGCCTCGAACTCCTATATCGCTGGCTGTGACAAGAAGTCTAGCCTTCAACCGGTTGAGGGCCTTCATCTTATTTGCAAAAATACTCCTTTCACCTGTGGGATAAAAGTTTTGAGATCTTATTTCTCGATCACAAAATGCGGTATGAGACAGGAATGAACGTGTGTTCACACACAAGTCGAAAGATTTCATAGAAGTCTTATCACCACCAACAATCGGAAGGGATCAGCATAATTTGCTATCTATTGAGGAACGGGCATTTGCTTCTGTAAAGTCAAAACCGGATTGCGGAAACCATTGGTAAACAAATTTGAGTCGGAAGGTCGACTCTAACAAATGAACAAATAGACAACTCATTACCTGAAGATTGGACGACAAAACCAGTAGGAACATGCTGAATAACAACTCCAGACTGGCCTTCACTGACTTCTACTTCAGGTGATGAAGACGGGCACAAGATGAGGAAATCCTCCTCCTTAATTTGCAGGTCAGGGGCCAAACCACAGAACAGAGGAATTATATCAACAGCTGCTAGGCTAACCTACAAAATTTGAGTACTAAAATGAGAAACTGGCAGGAATTTAAGGGCCAATGATGTAGCAGAACAGAAACACATTTCACAGAAGAGGCTCGTCTCAACCTCCAATTCACTATCATATAAGAAACAGATATTACTATAAAAAGAAATGACTAGAATGGTAAGATCCCATAAAATGCAACAATTCCCTTGGCTACGTTTTTGAGTTAACTAAATCAACCTTAAACTCATGTGCACAATTAATCCACATGCCACTTGAAGTTGCATATCTTATATCTTAGAACCGATGTTAGACTCTATGGTACATGAATACATCTAGGTGCCACAAACATCTAAAGTGTCCAATTAAGGTAAGATCGAAGAAAGAATTTACCCAAATATATACGATAAGGTGTCATGAGTACGAGTTCATATCTAGCTGCTTTGATTCAAGAAAGAGCCACAAAAACTATCAATCTTCCAATTTCGATGTGTTTTTCCTTTTGCACAGTCATTTACATGTTGGTCACGTCTTTAATACATTTAAAATCAGTTCTTGATATTAATGATGCACTAACAAGATGGCACTTTCGCCGTCTGAGATCTCTGGATAGAGAAGAAAGAAATCATTCAGAGCCCATTATTAAAAAGAAGTCAAAAACCAATAGTAATATACAAAAGCCAATGTTTCATCAAAACGAAAATGATAATTGTAACCTAACCTCATCATCTGTTGATCCAGTTTCCGAACTTCTTATCATTCGATGAACACCCCTCTCCCCTTGAAGATAACCATATGCATAATCAAATTCAAATTCAACTGTTGCAGAAGTGATTCCACCGTTCTTTGCCAGATGCTTCTCTACAATCCTCCCTTTGTAACCTTGCTTCTCAGCCCATTTTTGGTACATTCTCAGTAGTTTTTCAGCCCATAACTGGATTAGCAAATGCATCAGAGACAGAGAGATTGGAACCAGCAGAGGCATAAGCCCGAAAGATTCTTTTTCATTTTGGTCAACAAAACCAAGGTAATTTCATTGAATTAGGTAATGGAAGAGGAATATATCCCCATTATAGATGAATATTACAGTCCGCTATAAATGCTGTTTAGTTTTTCCAGGATTGCATCTGTTGAATGCAAATAGATTGGCAACATATCATCCCCTGCCCTAGTTCATACTGATGTCGAAATGAAGTATCCTCATAGCACAGAAGATATCGAACAACTATCCATACTGATCGAATTCTCACTCTTTCATTTGTTCTCATTATTCTTTTGATAGCCATCACATTCTCACTCAATGTTTACTTCTGAGCGCATAGAAGAGCTATTGGCAAACTGAAATTCAGGGGAGGGAGATGCGAAATACCTCACACAGGAAGAAGAATACTAGACAATATATTAAATATCAGCTAAACCCTGGAGAAATCCCACAATCAATTTTCAAGACATCTAAGTCATCAAGCAAAGAGATAAGTAGATGAGAAGTAACTGACATGGTGATGCGCACAAGCATACATATATACTAACATTCCCCTAATGATGTCCCACCATTACATGTACATATATATGCAGTTTTTTATTCTCAAGTTCTTTGAAACTCCTATATTTTATTATAAAGAAGCAGGAACCAGAGACTTCAAATCCATTCTCGATGCATTTTACGATGGAAGAGTATGAATAGAACATCATCTCTTTGCACATATATAATTATTTTAGAAACCAAGTCAAATTATCAAACCTCATGGTCATTGCCACTGGATTCAGCTTTGATGACCATTGACGCTCCATCCACATCATATGGTCCCTTTAGAAGCTTTAACATCTCATACTGGTCCAAAAACTTACTCATATCCAAAGAAGCAGTGTATGCCTGCTCGAAAAGAGCATAATTAATAGCATCCATCTCCGCCAGTTGAGTTATCAGCTTTGCTTCTTCCGCCTGCAACTTTCAGCAGACAAAGTTAACTAAAGCCCAGCAACCGCACTTCGGTTAATTGATACAGTTAAACTAGACAAGACAGTCATTGACACATTAAGAATCAAGTTAATCTCAAAGACGAGTTGAAACAAGAAGTGCCTGCACATGCTTCCAGGCTTCGGCACAGAGCATGCACAAACCAATGACCCAACAATCGCCCAACTAAATCCACACCTACTGGACGGAATAAACTCCTATGAGATGGATATGGCATTCCCCATCACCTTGTAAGTTAAATCCCTCAGTGAATCGACTGCTCTGGCAATGTCTGCCAACTTCACGAAAGCATCATTGGATTTAGCAGGGTCATCCCAGAGGTCGTAATCTCGAATCAGTCCATCCTGCTTAATCCATCGAGCTTCTTCGATTTGCAGTGCAGTAGGAGCCATCATCTCGGTGCGTTGAACTGCATCTTCGATCTTCTTTTTTAGTGAAAACAACCCTGGAGAAAAAGAAATACAAATTTAACATAAATGCCTAACTGCAATGATTTTTACCCCAACAACATCCCAGAAACACCTTTTGCTTACATTTCACAGAATTCGTGTCAGGTTAGACAAGGAAATTAAATTTGACTTCAAGCCTCTAGCAGGAGTCACATTTTGCAAAACCCATATTTTTCCCCATGTTTGACATAACTTCCTTACAACGGCTACAACACAACCACAGATATCAAATGAAACCCTGGTTCGAAATTCTGAAGTGCGAACTCCGAAACCAAAGATACTGGAACACCGAGGGAAAAGAAAGGAAGAACCTTTCCTTTAGGGGGATAACTAAAAAAGCAAGAACCACCCACATATGGGAGTTCACTCGTTGAGTTCGCGAGAAGTGAATAACATAAGCAAAAGGCCTAACGAGAAAGATTCAGGCCCGAAAGATATGCGAAGACTTCAAATTCTACACGAAAGATATGATTGTCTGACCAATGGATTCCGGAAAGTTCACTCTTTCCTTTTCATTTTTACCACGAACCGATCTGGATTTCTTCACAAGCAGTCTCAACAACATGTCAAAGAATTTCTCCAAAAGACAAGAACCATCTATCACCATGTACATTTGCAAATGAACCGAGCACTCTATCTTAAATCTGAAAAAAAAAAAAACAAGAACTACCCTCATGAAAATATTCGAGAAAGACCAACATAACGGACTTCGGCGAGACAGAGGCAGAGACAGACGGACCAAGTTCTCTGTAGACCTTGCTTCTGCCTTCGACGGAGCTACAAGCCCGGACCGTACAGCGCGAGACCTCGGACTTGTGCGACTGCGGAGCCCGCCATTTCGAGCCGAATGAAGCAGAGCTCATGCTACTTCGACCAAGAACAGCTTCAGCCGCCATTTCCGGATGGAAAGAGAGGAAGGAATCCGAAGGAAACAGAGAAAACGATGGAGAGAGAGAGAGAGAGAGAGAGAGAGAGAGAGAGAGAGAGACGATACGCAGACAAGAACATGCGTCCATTACATAACATTGGTGTATGTACGGTGATGGTGTATCGTTGGGAGGTGCGACGAACCCGACACCACGTATGTGCCAAAGGTCTCTCCTCTGGTCTGTCCCTTTTGCCTTTCCTGCGCTCCTTATCCTCACTTTTTTTTATTTCTCTATTCGAGAAAATATCTAACTTCTTGAAAATACAATTTCAAGATAGGAATTTTTCGAAATAAAAGTAGCAATTGCATTCTTGTATTTCAAGAAGGGTTGGAAACATCCCAAATGAGGAGGTAACTAAACATATTCAATGGATTCATTTCCGGACATATTAAGCTCACGGGGCATTTTGGAGGATGAAATCTCTCGTTGCCACCCCGTTCCACATCCCGTCGCCCATGCCCCCTACCTCCGTTCGTTCGAGCCACATGACCCGCCATTGTGTCGCCACTGCCACTTTCTTTCTTTAGGGCCAAGTTTGTACATTCAGCGAAGTCGTACAATACATTTTGGACCATGGTTTCTATGCGCTAGTAATGTTGTTCTTCTGTTGAGATGTAATACCATTATTGGAAGGTGCCATTGTTGATGTAGGACAAGAATTTCCCAATCACCCCATTAATGGTTCTTTATTTAACTTAGTTATTTAACATTTTCTAGGATTTAGAATATGTAATTTTATTTAATTTTCTTATTGAGAGTATCTTTCTAGTAGGAGTCTTGCTAGGGTTTGCCTATTAATATAGGCCAAGACAAAAATTTTGTAAGTTTGGATTATTTGATTATTGGATATTGCTACTGCAGTTCTAAACTTTGCGTGAAAATCCAATTAAATCCTCTCAACCAAATCTTGTATGAAAATGCTGGCATGGATTCAGTGTACTAAGTATCATGGCCCGCGATCTAAACAATTACTAGGTATAATGTCTTTTTTCTTAATTCTCTGATTTTTATTCCACTTTGTTTCTTTTCTTTTCTTCTAGTTATGTCCAATATTTATTTTCTTTCTTTGATGGGAAAATGACATAAATGATCCTTGAACTCTCACCCAATATGCAATGTGATCCTTGACCTTTTAATACATATTCAAACTAATTCTTGGATTATATGAAAATGTTTAATGTTGTCCCTTGACTACAATGTTATCCCTGAACTTAAATTAATAGAAGGATAATATTTGATATTTTCATATAGTCTAGGAACTAGTTTAAACATATACCAAAAGTTCAATAACCACATTGAATAAATTAAAAGTTCAAGAACAACATTACATATTGGCTAAAGTTCAGAGGTTACATTGAACAAATTAAAAGTTCATGGACCACATGCATATTAAACCAAAGTTCATGGACCATTTGTATCATTATTAGTTCTCTAATTATAATGCAAATCTAGCTCAATCTACAGAACTCGCTTTGTGTAACTGAAGCACGGGCTCCCGAACCTCCTATTCCCTCATAACCACCCACTCTCGATCCTCGACTAAGGCTCCCTAGCCGCTGTCTACAGCTCAACCACTCTTGCCATCGAGGCCATTTCAACAGCATGACGGTGTTCGGAATGGACGAAGTGGATGGAAGCGATCACAGCAAGTTCTCGCTCCTGAACATCAAGCAAGGCTTGTAGTCACCAGACGGTTGTCACAACCTTAGATTTGAGGTCGTCGAGCCCCCCATGGTCGACCAAAGTTGAACTCCATGGCGGCTTGACCTTGTCCTCTAATTGTCAAAATTTATGATCGAGGAGTACACAAAGATTTTTGGCGAAAGATGCTTCAGATTCGGTTGGACGGACGCAATCTTCTCGAGAGACATAAGATATTGATTTGGTAACAGTCTTTAATCTACGTTAAAATAACCACTAGGGCAAACCCCAGTGGCCACTTTTTCTACTTGCGAAGGGGGAGGTGAGGATGTTTAGTTTCAGATATGGGTTTGGACTCCCATGCTTTGCAAAGAGGCAAGGCAAAACTCTAAGAGTGAGTTGAGAGTTAGAATATGATTGATAAAAAAAAAATCTACGTAAAAATAACAATATGTTGTAGAAAAAGATAAATAACAAATAATTATAAATTATTGTAGCGTCCACTCTTTCAAAAATTTGTAGCTCACAACATGCTGTTAGTATCATAGTGACCAAAAACTATTATGCTAGTAAAGTCCTAAGATTGAAGCCGACCGTGACAATTGCTTGTCCACGACCATCTCATTCTTGCTGACCTTTCGGTGGCAAAGGGTGGAGGCCGTCGGCAAAGGGCCTCGGCAAAAGAAATAGAGGAAAGAAGAGAAAAATTCAAAAAACTCAAAATATAAAACCAAACGGGGTCATTTGCCAGCAAATATTGTACTACTACGTCAGTAATTTCAGTCAACAGTTTGATCAGAATTAAATTTTCACGCAAAAGGTTTAGAACAACGTTATATCAATTGAAAGCTCAGGACTAAAATATCAATTTCTTCCTCTATCTATTCTTTTGGTCGGTAGATAATCAAGATGGGCATTATAACAGGATAGAAAAATACAGCCTCTTTTTCAAGAGAAAAGTCGGAATTGCATATAGATGCTTACATTCAACCTGTATCTCAGATCAGATGACTCAAAATCTATTTTGCCTAAGAATAAATAGATTTTTTACACTCTTACTCAGAATAACAACAACAACAACAACAAAAAATCCTCCCTTTCCATATTATCAACCGACATATAACTTTCCTACATCACATTCCTACATCAAGCTAGAAAATTCTGCAAGTACCTCAAACCGCCATCCATGCTCGCGCACCTCCATCTCGCCATACTCAGAATCCCCACGCTCACGCTCTCGACCTTGATTCTCCCCCCAGTCGCCCTCCTGCTACAAAACCCTAACTTCAAGTCCGCCACGAGCCCACTGGTGGCAGCATTTGAGCAGCACCCCGGCGACGGCAGCTCCTGCGAGAACCACCCCTCGGCCCCAGGAATGAAGCTCGCCTTCCCATCGTACTTCATCATGGTAAACACCGCCTTCCACCTTCTCAACGCCACGATCCACGTGATCCTCACGTGGTCCATGATCTCCATCGCCGACAGGCACTCCTCACCGGCGCCGAGCTCGAACCGGAACAGCCCGTTCGGATCGGGTGCAATCTCGTCCCCCGGCTTCGACACAGTGGTGATGCGGAGGTCCTCGGACTGCACGTCGACGATGAACACAAGGTCGTTGAGGGACAGGCGGGGCTTCGCAGGGGAGTGTGTACGGCACCTGGAGGCGGCAAAGCCGAGGGCGTAGATGCGGCAGTAGGGGACGGCCGGGTCGGTGGACTGGAGGGCGGAGAGAGAAGGGAAGTGGGAGGCGCACGCGGGCTTCCAGAGGTTGTCCGAGGACATGGAAGCGCACCACGACTTGCAGACGCAGGAGGCGACGGCCAGGGTTTTGGGGTCGAGGTGGTGAGAGACGAGGAGGACGACTTCCCATGGCGGCGGAGAGTGGTTCTGGGGCGGAGGAGTGGCCGACATGGCTTTGGCTTCACGAGTGTTTTTTGCGTTTTCTTGAGGTTTTTGTTTGATGTGAGAGTGAGGGCAGTTATATGGGGTTGTTCCACAGGGAGGAGAGTTTGGGCTGGGAGGTTTTTGAAGTCATGGCACGTGGAAGACGGTGGGGTCTTGCATGGAAGGGAAGAAGCCACCTAGGTTTTGCATGGAGGGGAAGAACCACGTAAGCATAGTAGGTCTTCTATAAAGACTTTGGTGATTCACTCATTTGACAAAAAGCGATGTCTACGCCAAAACCACATTTTCTTCGAATTGCACGTTCAGCAATCGATTGGAATTCCACTAATTTAATGCTTTGTCCATTTGGGATGGGGATATGAATCCAATGCAAGGCCGACTCAGCAACTAGATGGAAGAGCCGTCTGGCTATACACTCCAAGGGTAGATGGAGGTGCTGCTTAGGTCAGACTTATGTCGAGCTAGTAAGTTGTGCGATTGCTTTCGACATAATAAATCGCATTCTCAATCTCAAGCCGCCCAAGCACTGGCCAGATCGTTCATCCATGCAGTTTTAGAGCTCTTCTTATTATTTTCTCAGCTTCCAAACTGTCTTTTATCTCCTCACAACTTCAACTATTCACAATCCAAACATACTATTTCATTTTGATAAGCAAATATCACACCACTCATTCGGCACAACTCAAACATAATCAAACTACCGGTACGTTGCAATTATACAAATATTGCTTATGCATTGACTATAAGTGGTAAGGTGAAGCTAAATGAGCCTTTTTTTTACTCTAAGGTGATGGCTAATGTTGAGTTGGTGCCGTGGTTAACTTCTATGAGTAAAGAGATGGAATTACTCTCGACGGAATCAGACATGGGAGTTGGTCAAGATACTCAAGAGCTAAAAGATTGTTGGATGCAAATGGATCTACAAACAGAAGGAGGGCATTCCCGGTATCAAATCAGAAAATTATAAGGTGAGACTTGTTGCGAAAGGATATACTGAATGTAAAGGAATTGACTATAATGAGGTCTTCTCTATACTTTTATTCGAGTATTACTTGCCTTAGTTGGTATACAAGATCTTGAGCTAGAACAATTAAATTGTGAAAACAGTATTTCTTTATGATCAGTTTGAGGAATGAATTTACATGAGGTAGCCATAGAGATATGTTATTTGAAGGGTTCATCAACGAAAAACAACGCAGTGGAATATAGAACCCTAGACAGGATCCATGTGTATATTGAAATCGAAAAGGAATTTCGAAACATACCTTTTGCAGATCGAAGATAAATAGGCAACCGATTGTGTCTGGATTAGCGCCCCAAGTGTTGCGCTTCTACCGGTATCCACACACACGAACGGAATTCTCCAACAATCCACGTGCTAGCGAAAGATCTTGAAGTTCCTTTTTCTTGAACGCCTTTTGATTTTCGATACTCTGTCGAAAAACCCTAGATAGAGAATGATTCTCTATCTATTTAAACAGCCTCATTATCCAGCGGAATTAAAAGAAGTGGGCCAGGCGATTTGGGCCCGCCAAACCGTCCACTTTCAATCGTACATTTAATCGTTATCTCATAACGCGCACGACTGCGTAGATAAGTTGAATAGGAGAATAAATTAAAATCTACTTCTTATTTTAAGTAGATCCCGGCGCACAGAAAATATTAACTCAGTTCGCTTTTGTGTGCGACCCTGTAGGTTCACTAAACATTAGCAGTGTGCTCAAAACTCTTTTTGGCCCACAAGTCATAAGCGGTCTCTAGCAAGACATTATGACTACCTAAGTATAGTGAAGGTCGATTTTCCGACACAACCTAATCCACAACTAATATTAGAGTATTAACCTTGATTGATTCCTAGGGCAGACCACTAACATTATTCCAGGTAAGGAATACCATATTTGCTTATTAAAGAAATCTTTGTATAGGTTGAAAGAGTTTCTTAGGTAGTGGTATAAGCATCTTGATGCTTTGTGGCTAGTCAAGATTATTCAAAAAATCAGTTGAATAGCTGTGTTTACTTTATGGCATGTTTTGCGTAAAATATGTCTAATATTGATATGCTAAAGCGGCAATTGAGTGCTGAGATTAAGATGAAAGATTTAGGTGTTGCAAAGAAAATATGGGTGTGGAGATTTTGCGTGGTAGGGTTGTTGGATTTTTGCGTTTGACTCAAAAGAAATATATTAATGAGATTGTGGCACAGTGTAACATACAATTAGCGAAATCTCTGAGAACACCTTTAACTAAGCACTTTAAAATTTCTGATAAATTATCACTGCAGACTAAAAGTAAGGATGAACATATGTCCCATGTTCATTATTCTAGTGCAATGGGTAATATTATGTATGTATGGTATGCACTAGGCGTGGCATTTCATAAGCTATGAACATCGTTAGTCGTACGTAAAATGTCCTGAAAAAGTTTATGGGGAGGCTCTAAAGTGGATCCTTAAATATTTGAAGGGGACAACAAACATTGATATAGTGTATTGGAGTGACAGCAATGGAAGAAAGACCACAAGTTATGTAGATTCTCATTATGCTGTTGACTTGGATGAGTGCAGGTCTTTAACGGGGTACGGCTCACACTGGTAGGTGGTGCAATCAATTGAAAAGCGTCTTTACAGGGCAATGTTGCCTTGTCTTCGACTAAGGCAGAGTAAATGACACTAACCTTTATAGCGAAGGAGGTGATATGGCTAAGGGATATGCTTTCGGATTGGGTTGGAGATGTGTCGCTATATACTGTAACAACTAAGGTGCAATATAACTGACTTATAATCTAAATTATCACGAGCGAACGAAGCATATTGACATCAAGTACCATTAATTCGAGATGTTGTGGCGAAGGAGCAAGGTTGTTGTGAAGAAGATCATGTATCTAGAGAACTCGACACACATGATGATTAAGCATGTTTCTTTGGTAAAACTTAAGCTTTCCTCGAGTTCAATTGGCATTTGTAAGAATGAGCACTCATTGGGGTGTTGGGAGAGCCGGCATATTTGATGAGCACTACACGTCTAGCCAAGGTTAAGAATTTTTAAATTATATCTCAAGTTTTAACCGTGTATGAAAGCTGACCCAATCCGTAATATAAGAAGGATTTACTGGAAGAAATTGTTGTTGGTCAGAATTATTGAGCTACCATGCGAGGAAAAAAATCCCCCACTTCCCGATTCGGATAAAATTCCTTTTTTTGAAGGCCACATTCGCGTGAAAGATTCAGAGTCATTCCTCTGGTCTTTTAATGAATCTTTTTGGCCGCAGGATAAGAAGAGAGCTCAATTCAGGCCGCAAGAAAGAGCTCTATAGAAACAAACGGCTGGTGGAGTTCCTTGATTTATCTCGCGAAAAATAAATTATTCATAAAATATTTTCTTAAAAATGATCGCTTGTAAAAATAAATGAACAAAAGAATATTTATTGTTCATAAAAATGTTTATTGATGATGAAAAAAATTTTATTGACTAATTATTTCAAGTGAAACAAGCGACCATTTTTAGGAAAATATCTTCTAAATCATTAATTTTCCGTGAAATAAATAAAACCTAAGGGTTCTCTTATTAGCCGTGTAGAGAGCTCCGAAAACGGGATGATTTGCTCTGTGAGTTCTATATTCAAATTGTGTTATTTTTTTCATGGAGACGTGAGTATTTTAAAGTCGTGAGGTAATTATCCGCGAGGCTAAACACTATGAGTTTGGACGTAATTTAGGACTGGAAAATATTTGAGCATGTGAATGTAACTTTGTAATTCTCCGATTGTTTAGTAGATTATTTGCCACTAGCTCTCCTCGAGAAGTAGATGATGCTATTTAGACCGAAACACGTATATATCTTGCTTGCTTTATCATTCCTTGTTTATTTATTATGATGATATCATTCTCTCACGTTTATTGAATTGCAAAATCTGATTAGGTTCTACATTATTTCACAACAATGTGAATATCAGTCCAGAGATTACAACCCCTTTGTAATTGCCGGACCAACATCTATCCTATCCAATCCCACTTAGACCTCTAGCATAGAAGAATTACTCTATTATTGGACTTGGAATATTCCCTCTCGTGTTACTAAGTCATGTTGGCCGTGATATGTTAGATTCTTCTATAGATATGACAAACATATGTCCACCGTAAGATGTTTAAATTCTTTGACGGACACGATTTACCTCGTTTAGAACCATTGCTTGCATATTTGTTCATAGGTAAAATTGTCGATAAATTATCTTATGGTCTACGGATTAAGTGAACTAATATCAATCGTTAATTATGTGAGTCCTATCGTGGAGTCCACATGATCACCAGCCAAGATGGGTTTGATCTATATAATCTGAAGATCATGCAGTAATCTTCCAATTGGTCTTATATAGACCTTTTTATAATTTTTCCCTATGTTTTGTTTCTAGATATGTGACAAGGAATTGTCGATAGCGAGAATTGAACTCTCGCAACTATTAAAGGAGAACTGGTGACCGTAAAACCCTTCCCTAAAAGGCAAAAAGCCTGAGAAAAAATATTGCATAGAACTGTGATTCCACGCTGGCAAAATTCGAGTCACTCACTAGGCGACGCGTGTCGCCTGGGCCCTTTCTCCAATAGCAACGGCTTGATGATGTTGTCGGTCTTAGCCTACGTGCTTTCCGCCAAAGATGGCCAGTGAGTATTTTTCGAAGAAAGTTGTTAAGGTCAGTATCAACGGTTAACATAGTCGTTCCCTATGAATTTCATAAGTTACGGAAAAAAATATGCACGAATATTGTCTATAAAGTCAATAGAGTTCTCGTTGGCGTAGGAGGTTTTATCTATAAGGTTTGCATATGAATTTTTCGACAATTAAAATCTTGATGTCTCTTCACACTGTCAACGGGCGTGATAAGGTGTGCATGTGATTGATCATAGTCATTCAACAATCACCCTCGTTGGAGGAAACCCTTGAAGCTATACAGGAAAAGAATGAAAGAAAATACTTTCGAGAAGGCCACGAGAAATAGCCTCTCATCCACTAGCAACGTCAAACACGTTCAAGAAAAGTAGGCACAACCCAATATTTGTTTGAAGTCTCTGTGAGCAAAGCACAAACCAACTTCCGACAAAATCTCAAAAGCGAAATCAATCAGAATATACTACAAAAGAAGCGCTTATTTATAAAGCCTCTTATGGGGGTAGTCACAGTTCGCATCGTACCGCGTCAGGCTTGCTTCGGAGTGTCCGAGACGATGATGGGCCGGCCGCGACGGAGCTCTCTCTCGATGGTTGACCGAGAGAGCGCCAGCGACGACGACGACTTGGCGGAAGCAGGAGCAGAGGAGGGCTGTCGAGGAGGACCCTTCTGACCGACGGAACCGTCTCCGCTGTCCGACCCTTTCAGGGCCTGCACGGGAAGGACGGCCGGGGCGGTGCCACCATCGGCGGGGGACGGCGACGGGGCCCGAGGGTAGAAGTAGTCGGTGGGGAAGAAGTAGTACTGGAGACCGGCCATGCAAGAAATCAGAGGACTTCGAATGGATTCTCGATCGGACGCTGGAACTGAATATAAAGAACGCGAGGTTTGGAGTTTTCTCGAACCGTCGGAGGTATCCGACCTTCTTGTCGTTGGTGGTGGTGGTGGTCGCCGCCGCCGCGGTTTTTGCATTGGTGGGGGCGAGTGGTTTTATAGAGGCGGAGACAATGGCGAATGACTTGGAGGGCTACGACAGCTTTGTCGCTCTCGTGGTGTCCTACGTGTGCTGCGTTTTGTAACTTTGTGTGGAGTGGAGAAAGAGAGAGAGAGAGAGAATTGACATTTTTCATGAATTTTTAAATTTGGTGGTCCCACTTGTCGTGCCACATTTTTGGCCGTTCGATTAGTCCACGGGGGAGGATCTGCCTTTTCATGGGAAATGTTTGTGGTCAAATTGATTTGGGTTCCAATTCGACAACTGCCCATCATAGAGATTTGTGTTTCAGGCAGGCTGGTGAAAGTCTAAATTTTGTTTTGGTCGAAAAAGTCTACAATTTCACATGTTAGATATTTGATAGGATAACGGGACAAAAGGCATTATTTGTGATTTTCTTGTATTGATTTTAGTCTTTTCGATCAAACGTATGCAGGGAAATTATTAAGCCGAATAACTTAACACTTAGCTAGTTTTGTAGAAAATTTGACATTTCTAGAAAATGTTTTGAAGAAGTCATTTTTCAGGAAAATGGTAAAATTTTCTGGTATATGGCTGGAATTTGAAAATGAACTAGAAATTATTCCGTTGTCTGAAAAAGAAAACTTGTTTTTATTTTCTTAAAAAGACATGTACTATTCGTAAGATATAAAGGATACCCAGTCGCTCAGGTCCCGATCGTAGGATTCGGGGTTTCTTGGGCCCAACCATTAGGAACCCGAATACGAACACCGGGAACCCAGACCCGCCCTTGATGAACTTTACGCTAGGGTACTAGTGACTTGAGCTTGGAAGTTGGGTGCCTGGGCACGAGCGTCAGGGTTTACATGCCCAAGCGCTGGAGACGCAGTCACGGGCATGGGGTCTCAGGTCCGGTCTTCGTGGATCCAAGCCTAGCCTCAATAGGCTCGGGTTCGAGCGTCAGTTAGTTGGGTGGAGGAGCTGGGTACTCGGACATGGCCATGGGGGACCCATCACGGACACAAGGTCCTAAGCTTGACCTCTTTGGACCTAGGCTTGGCTTCGATGGACCTAGGCCAAAGTGTCGGACTGGGGTCACGGGCACTAGTGACTTGGGTGTGAGAGCCGAGTACGAGGGCACGGCCGTCGGGGACCTAAACATGGGTACCGAGATCTCGAGCTTTGTGACGCCCCAAAGCATCACACATGACCCGAGATCTTTCGCTAAATTGTATATTCTTTTTAGCACGTGAAAGCACCATAGAGTAATCACATCATATGAGAATGGAAATTTGACAAGTATAAATAATTAACCTATCCATCGTTCCTTTAACTTCTCTCTTCCAAGTATTAATACAAGCATCAAAGGAAATAATTACAATGCATTAATCTCGTATGAAGGTTGGGTCTATTGTCGTCACTATACCCCTGCTCTTGTACTAGAACTTGCCTATATAATGTCGAGTGAATAGACTATGGATCCATCGACACATCACCATCGCCATCGAAGCTAGGGGGACCATGGAAGCCCCTCAGGGGTTCTGCCAACTCTCCGTCGATATTAAAGTACCAAGCTAATTGATATGGGATCTACTCTTGCAACCCCATGTCATCGATACAATAGAACTATACTCAATATAAAACACTGCTGAATCGGGTATATATACATCTTGATATTCGCAATCGAAGTACACAAGAACTCTAAAAAGCAGTGGCATTGGGAGAACCATCCTAGAGATGTGTAAAAATAAGGGGTAAGTTAAATCTTAGAAAATGAAATCTCTAAGGTAAAAGATTCTCTTATCACTCAACTTAGTACCAACGAATGAGAGTGAGTTCAAGAAAAGTACAATTTAATTATGTATGACGAATGAAGGAGTAAATGCACTGTATTTCCTATTATGATATGCTGATGTAAACCACTTAATAGTGACACATAAGATTATTCACTCAAATGCAAGCACATATCATATTATTTTATGATGCACCGGAATAGTAGCTCACCGATATATACAGGTAAGTTTCTAACTCCTGCTCATCACTAGCCAGGACTTATCTCAACCCACAAAGCATTTCGATTAATGAGGGATCATCACCATCAACTCATGGGGAATGGAATCATTAATATCTCTTTGCCACACCACTCAACCCACCCATCACGAGCGCCCTCTACATTAACGAGGATAAATACACCATGATGATGGTCAACTTAGGCTACACAAGCCATGTCGGGCAAACCATTTCATATCGTGTGTAAATTATAGGACTTTCATGTCCGTTCAATCTTGTAGAGACCCATTTCTAGACGGTAGAACATTTTTCTTTTCCTAAAGTCTTTCACACATATTCATACAAGGGAAATTGCTCTCTGGTGAATAGGTCGTGGCAAAAGTCTAATCACATGACAACACTCACACATAGGGGTGAGTGGTTCTAGGTTCCTTACAGGTTCCACCCGGAACCTGGAACCTACCCTCGGGTACATGTTCCTCATTTTTTGGAACCTAGAACCTACCCGTCGAAACCTGAAACCTAGAACCTACCCTGTCACAGGTTCCAGGGTCGGTTCCAGGGTCCAACAGGTTCCTTTTTTTTTAATTTCATTTTTAGTTAAACAAAACGAAAAATGAATGCAATAATACCGAATAAGAGAGAATACAAAACAAACAAAATTATCAACAAAGGAAACAGAATTGGCTGCTATTTGGCAAGGAATTTCATTAGATAAAAGAGAGGAAACAGATCAAAAGTCACTAGACTTGTCACCAAGTTTCAGTCACTAGACTTGTCAGAGGACATTACAAAATGAAATGGATGCTGCTGCCGTGCAAGAGGACATCACCAACTCCTCTAAATCCTACTTCTATCAATTTAAACATTTGAAACGAAGACATTCGTACTAAAAGAGCTAAGTTTCAGTCATTAGACTTAACTGTTGTTCCCCGAGGAGCAAATGCATGGTACCCATTGGAGTTGCTCTTTTCTTGCCAAGCAAACAACATGAGAACATATTAGCCAAGAGCACTTGAACTTTTACTAGTGGTCTTTATGCAGTAAGATATTATCATATCCGAATGAAAGAACCTAAATCAAAGTATCATACCAATTAACTATAGAAATCAACTAACTTTGAGTTGAATTACTACATTTCCACATCATAACACAACTCCAACATCTCATTGCACACAATTGTCACTAGAAACTGTGTTTTACTCTATCTAACCTCAATAATTGCATGAGTTCATACATTTCAGGATACAGCTCGTAAATGCAAGGGAAAAGTTTGTTTGTTAACAGAGAAAAATAGAGGGGTGGCAAGGGATGGTTGTTGCCTCCTTCCCTGATTCATAAAGGGCACTAATGTCCAATAGCAAAACATTGCTATTGGTGCTTGTTTCACAGATCATATAAAACTAGTCATATGAAACTAGATGAGTTAAATCCACTAAGAAATCCATATAACTCCATTTAAACTATTAATAGTACATTAATTTCCAAATCATGTTACTTTCAAAAGTAAGATCACTAATTTCTACTTGCCTAGACTTTAGTCATCCATAAGAATGCAACACACTAGCACGGTCAATGTGCACATTCACATAAGGTGCAAAAGTGCCCAAGTTTTGGAAGAGAAAAGGAAAAGAAAGAAAAGAAGTGAGCTGGGATGAACACTGGAACTCATGCACCGACATGTGGAGACATGGAATTGGGAGTGCATTAAACAGCTAACCCTAACTCAAACACACTCACACAATAACACATAGAATGTTCAACTTCTGAATATATATAAACTACAGCTCTTCACAACATATACCCATAGTATTTATCAAATTTCTCTTTCATTTTCATACCCATAACTTGAAGCTTAGGATTCGAAGCATCCGCCGCATCTTTCAAATATTTAGACAAAAGAGCTATCCCTTCAAAATAATCATAAGTAACATATGAACTCCCCGACATCCAATTGGTGGTATCATAGAATAGTTTTAGAAATTCCGAAAGAATAATGGCATTTTTCCAATCATCATCTTTAGGAAGATCATGGTTAAGCTCACCGGCAAAAGATGGATCGTCTTCTTCCATCATTTCAAAAGTTTTTCTAACTTTATGGCAGTGTCTAACATGAGGTAAGTGGAGTTCCATCTCGTGGTGACGTCAAGAATAACTGAACCCTTGTAAGTAATTTTTTCACCATCAATGCAAGATTTAAATATGTTGGCTCTCATGGGAGAACTCCACACATACCTAACCACATTTCGGATACGTGCAATAGATTCCCGTACCGTAGTCAAGCCATCTCTCACAATCAAATTTAATATATGAGCGGTGCACCTCATGTGTAAAACACTACCATCTAAGATCAACAACCTTTCTCTTGAAAGTCTTTCCTTCAAATAACCAATTGCAACGTGATTCGAACTAGCATTATCCACAGTGATTGTGGACACATTTTTTTCTATTCCCCACTCGTTGATGCATTTCTCCATCATTTTTCCAATCTCTCTACCCTTGTGACTATGCATCACCACAAAATTGATGATTCTTTTATGCAACTTCCAATTTTCATCAATAAAATGTGCAGTGAGACACAAATAATTCAGATTTTGAATGGAAGTCCATGTATCAGTCATGAGTGCGATCCTATAATTAATCTTACCAAAGTAAGTCTTCAAACAAGTTCTTTCACAAAAATACAGCTTCATACAATCTTTAGCCACCGTAAAACTTGATAAATGTTTGAAGAGAGGTTGTAACTCGGTGACAAACTCACGAAATCCAACATGCTCAACCAAGGAAAAAGATAGTTCATCAACTATGATGAACCGAGCAAGCATTTGTCCACAACGTTCTTGATTAAACGACCATGTCGATAAGACACTACCGGTACTAGAATTTCCCCTTGCCTTGCCAGCCACGTCTACATTATGTGGTGCAAAAAATTTCTGCCTCTTATCTACATTGCGAGGAAACTTCTTGCATGTTGTCAAGTGCTTCCTCATTGCGGAAGTACCGTTAGCAACACGATACTTAAACACAGACCCACAATAAATGCATTTCACCTCATATGTTTTTCCATCCCCATATTTGATTCTTGCATAATGATTCCAACATTCAGATGTATATTTTTTTATCACGAGGAGGAAGATGAGAACCAAGTACCTTGTTTGTCGCACTCGTGCCAGGGGATGGCTCTTCTTCATTTTCATTGCCCGATAATTCCAATTCTGTGATCGGAGTCATATCCTCACATCCCTCAACCTCCACTGACATGTTATCTTGAATTCTTAATACGTCAAGCAAACAACACGAGAATAAATTAGCCGAGATCACTTGAATAGTCAATCAAACAACACGATAATAGAACATTTTCGCAAGCCTTATAAGAAAAAGAATAGTCATGGATAATAACTAGAACTTTTCCTGTTTTAAAAAAAAAAAAATCTCCGCAAGAACAACAGAAGTTATATAACAAGTGAACAATGCACGGGTAAACATATAATGAAGAATCAATCTCTTATATCTTATCTCGCTACTCAACTCCTAGCAAGCATTTTGTCATTCATCTTCGAATTGAAACTTTCCAGCTACAAGACCACCTCCCCCCCCTACATCCTTCTTTGCTGCCTTGAACATGGGTCCCTCTAGTATATCTAATTGTTAAATCCCATGTCAGCTAATCAGTGGTATGTAGATATCTTCTCATTCGGTCTTCGACACTACAAAAGGGGAATTTTTCGTCGCAAATTTGCGACGAAATTTGCGATGGATTTTATTTTCTATAGCAAATTAGCGACGAAAATTAATCGTCACTAATTTGCGACGGAATTTGCCACGAAATAAAAATTCGTCGCAAATTTGCGACGAAAAATAAATCCGTCGCAAATTTACGACGGAGAAAAAATTCGTCGCTAATTTACGACGGATTTTGCGACGAAAACGAATTCATCGCTAATTTGTAGTTTATGATGGAAAATAACTTTCGTGATATCCACCTCACACGTCAATTTCTCTCTCTCTGTACTGATTCCTCATATCCCCCTCGCTTTTCTCCCTCTTTCGTTTCTCTCAATAAACCTATACGTGCGCGCACAAATCAATCTCGGTAAAGCTTTTCTACCGGTAAGTATCGTAGCTAACTTCGTGACTAATTGGTGACGAATACGGTTCGTCGCAAAACTATTAATCGCTGGATTCAAATTTTTTTATTTTATTGACTTTTTTTTTGTTTTTTTTTCGTAACTTCTTCGCCGGTCGCCGGCCATGGGGGAAGGCCGAGCGGCCTCGGCGGCCATGGGGCGAGGCCGCTCGACCTCCCCCCATGGGCGTTGACCTGATCTGGGGGAGGCCGACCGGCCTCGCCCCATGGCCGCCGGTCGACCTCGCTTAGGTATGGCTATCGACCTCGCCGTCGCCCAGATCTGGGCGACGGCGAGGCTCGACCGGCGGCCACGGTGAGGCCACTCGGCCTCCCCCCATGGCCGTTGACCTCACCGTCGCCCAGAGTCGACCGGCGGCCATGGCAAGGCCGCTCGGCCTCCTCCAGATCTGGGCGAGGTCGAGCGGCCTCGCCGTGGCCGCCCGGTCGACCTCGCCTTTGCCCAGATCTGGGCGACGGCAAGGTCGACCGCCACACCTGAGCGGCCTCACCGGCCTCAGTCGATCGCCAGACCAGTGACCGGAGAAAAATATAGGGGAAAAAAAAAGAAAAAAAATTTTAAAAAAAAGAAAAAAATTATAAATTATAAAAAAATGAATCTTAAGTGATTTTTTTTGTTTAGGTACGTGTCCATTTGAAGGTCTCGCAATCCAAGTGAACGTTGCAATTCTCATCAAATTGACCACTTTCTACTACAAAGATTTCAGTCAAATATTTGGGTAAGTCTTCTTTACATGGTATTTTTTTCAATTTCAAAGTAATTATTGCGTCAAAAATAAAATTTTAATTTTCATAATTTTATGATTTTAATTAAGAACAGTATATATGATATTTTTAATATTTTACGAGATTTTTTTATTTTTATACAGACACAATGGAAAGAGACAGGGCTTGGATGTATAATAAGAACTTACCTGGACGTCGAGGATTGACCGATGAGTTTCGTACTGGGTTGGAACTATTTTTAGACTTTGCTAGTAGTAAATATGAGTTCATGGATGGAAATAAATTAAGGTGTCCGTGTAAAAAGTGCAGTAATGGTAAATTTCATGTGTGTGATAAAGTTAGAGAACATCTTTGTAGATTTGGGTTTACTCCGAACTATTATAATTGGACTTTCCATGGTGAACCATTTATATCTGATGAAGGATACGGAAGAAGTGATCAATTTTTAGTTAGGGAAGAATGTAGCTATTATAACCAATTGAACACATACGAGAGGATGGTGATTGATGCAGCTGGTCAGAATTTTGTTTCAGAATCGAATCATGCAAGTACTAGTTTTACTCCTACACTTAAACAAGTGGGTACTAGTCATGCATCACAATTGGAAGAGAAAGGAGTAACGGGTTTTGATGAGAATGTGTGTAATGGAACTTTTCCATCTAATCAGTTTTGGGAAGTGTTGAAAGCAGCAGATGAACCTTTATGGGCAGGTTGTGACAACCACACTAAGTTATCGTGGACAAAGAAGCGTTAAATATCAAGGCGAGCATAATGTGTCAGGATTGCTTCAACTCTTTTGTTGAAGTAATGCGGGAAACAATGCCTCGTGATAACATCATGCCAAGTGATTTTTACGATATGAAAAAGCTAGTGGATAACTTAGGTCTTCCGGTTGTAAGGATTAATATATGTAGTAGGGGCTATATGTTATATTGGAGAGATGATGAAAATGCAGAATCTTGCAAATTCTGTAGCCAACCTAGGTACAAGATTAACAGGAGGCAGGGTCGTAATCAGAAGCGTAAACCATGCAAGCAAATGTTTTATCTGCCCTTAATCCCCAGATTGCAAAGGCTTTATGCGTCTCAAGCCACTGCTGAACACATGACTTGGCATGCAAATCATGAAACAGAAGAGGGTCTAATGTGTCATCCTTCAGATGCAGAGGCATGGAAACATTTTGATAGAACATACCTTGAGTTTGCGATAGAGCCTCGAAACATCATGTTAGGTCTCTGTGCTGATGGATTTGCCCCATTTGGAAAATCAGGAAAAAGTTATTCATGTTGGCCAGTTATCTTAACGCCGTACAATCTTCCACCTGGTATGTGCATGAAGACACCTTATATGTTTTTGATATTGATCGTGACTGGCCCGCAAAATCCGAAAAAGTTAATATATGTTTATATGCAACCATTGATTGAAGAGTTATAACGGCTATGGGATGAAGGTGTCCTTACATATGATGTTTCTACCGATCAAACATTTGTAATGAAGGTTGCTCTTCTTTGGACGATAAATGACTTTCCAGCTTACGGAATGTTATCTGGATGGAGTACAGCTGGGATCTTAGGATGTCCGATATGTTTGGAGAGATCAAAGTCATTTAGATTAAAACATGGAAAGAAGCCGAGCTATTTTGACTGTCACAGGCAATTTTTACCGATAAATCATACATTCAAAAGGAATAAAAAAGAGTTCATCAAGAATAGGACTGAAAGAATACCTCCACCATTGAGGTTGACCGGCGATCAAATTTGGGAGTGGGTGCAAGACTTTCCAACTGTTGTTCAGAACCCTCACGACACGACTATTGCGTACGGAAGTACACATAAGTGGACTAAACGCAGTATATTTTGGGATCTACCATATTGGAAGGCCCATCTTATTTATCATAATCTTGACGTCATGCACATAGAAAAGAATGTTTT